ATGAAAGGCTTCTTAGAACCTTGTGGTGTTTTGAGTGGGAATGACTCCCCCTCCCCCATAGGCTCATATGTCTGAATGCTTGGTCCAAATTGTGGAACTGTTTAGGAAGGATGAGCAGGTGGGGCTTTGGAGGAGGAGTGCCATGGGAGCAGGCTTTGAGGCTTCAAAAGCCCTTGCTATCCCCAGTTAGCTCTCTCTCTGTCTCACAATGGTTGTTGTCTCAAGATATAAGCCCTCTGCCAAATAGTGGTGGTGCATACCTTTGATCCCAGCACCTGGGAGGCAGAGACAGGCAGATCTCTGTGAGTTCAAGGCCAGCCTGGTCTACAGACGGAGTTCCAGGACAGCCAGGGCCACTCAGCAAAGCTTAGTCTTGAAAACAGATATCAGCTGTCAGCTACAGCTCCAGAACTATGCCTGCCTACCTGTTGCCATGCTCCCTGTCGTTCTGGTCATAAATTCTAACCCCCTGGAACCATGAGCCTCACATCAAATGCTTTCTTTTATAAGTTGGCCTCATCATGGTTTTTGTCACAGCAATAGAAAAATAACCAAGACAAACCTATAGCTTTCTAGACTTAAAAAAATGGCAGCAGGGGGTTGGGGAGGCTAGAGAGATGGCTCATTTGTTAAAGAGGACCTGGGTTGGATTCCCAGCACCTATACGGTAGCTCACAAACATCTATAACTCCAGTTCTAAAAGAGCCAACGCCCTCTACTGGCCTTCCCAGGCACTGCATTCATGTGGTGCACCTAACAAAACACCTATGCACATCAAATGAAATTTAATTTTAGACAGACCTGCCTGGCACCCCTCACCCGGGGGTAGGCAGGCAACACTATGATGAACAGGTGGAGAAATGGGAGGGAAGGAGAAGCAGAGTGGGTTGTGCACTGAGGAAAGAAGGGAAGAGAAGGCACAAAGCGGGTGAGGAAGAGACTTTTCTGAGTAATCTATGTTGTCATCTGGGGCCATGTGATATCCAGGTACCAGAGGGCCATGTCTGGGTCCATGACCCTACTGCATCTGTGTTGATGTCAGTGGTGCATGTTACCACCTTAAGCTGTAAGGATGCCCAGGATCTGGGCCACCGCCTGAGTCCATACTGGTGTCAGAGGGCCATGCTGCCACTGGGGCCATACCAATCTGAGTGGCCTGCACTGCCACCCAAGACCATGGTGACATCCAGGCCCAAGATGTGGCCAAAGGCCATGTCTAGGTCTGTGGTTCTTGTCTGTGTTCATGTTTATGGCCTGTGTTACTAGTGGAGAGTGGGGAGCTGGCCCTGGTGGCCTGGACATACGAGAACTGGTCTGACCCCTCACTGGCTGCCTCAGCAGGAGAGTTGTCCCCACCCTGGGAGAACTGGTCCCAGTGCCATGGGCATGGGTGAGCTGGTGCCAACCTTCAATGGCCCTAGGAGAACTACTCCACCCACTGACCATAGCAAAAAGGAGAATTGGCCCTGCATTTGGGGAACCTGGTCTCACCCCTCACCATCTACTCAGGAGAGCTGGTCCTGGTGGAGGTCCAGACTGACCAACTCAGGGACCATCCAGGCCCATATCCAGGCCTTTGAGTTGGCCCACTCCAACATCTACCCCATCTATAACCTGCTGGATCTTGTGAAGGGACCAGGGTTCCTGTAGAACCACAGCTGCAGAATTTCCAGGACTCAGGGCAATTGCGGGATACTGGAGAGAATTTTCATTGAGGGTCCAGTATTGATGGTGTATCAGAGGCCAGAGACCTTGAACCAAACCGACAACTCATTTCAATGAACATTTGCAAGTAAAGCTGTTTAGGCAAATGGGTGGATTACATGACACCATGAAGCTCCCAAGGCCACTATAACAAATGACTATGTGATGGAGTGGTGAGAAAGATGAAAAAGCAAATGTTCTTTTTCTTTTTTTTTTTTTAATTTTCTTTTTTAGGTGGCTACAAGGGTGGAGGGCAGATATGGAAGGACCTATGAGTAGGTGGCATGAGTTGGGTGGATGATGTGAAATTCCCAAAAAAAATCAATAAAAAATTATGTTAAAAGTAATTTTAAAAATTAAAATAAAAAAGTGAAATAGAATTGGTACAGATACTTGAATCATTTTAATGAAATTTTAATATTCATCTATAGGTTCTTATATTAACTTTGAAAAGGACGTAGCCTTTATTTTAAGAGATTCAGTGCCAATAAAATGTTAGTGTTTATATTTAACATTTATTAAAATTTATAACATATTTATGAGTTTTTCAGACGAGATGTGCTCTATATCAGTTTTGGACAGGTTTACTAGCCAACTATGTTTATTAATAATTCAGAAAACTGCTTTCATCTTCCAAGTTTTCACATTTGTTATTGAATTTTAGGTATATGGATAAGGAACTAAAAAATAACTCTATGCTGCTAATAAAACAACCATAAGCATAATTCCATCAAGAATACAATTAAGGAAAGACTTAAGTTTCCAGAAAAATACTTGAGTGGAAGGTCAGAGTGAAAGATGAGAGCGGTGGGAACTGGAAGACATAAAATGTGCGTCAACAAAATAGATCACACATGAAAATGCCATAGAGAAATCCACTGCTGTGTGTACTGCTGTAAAATTGTGTTTGAACAAGTAAAAGCAATTTTCAAGATGAAATTCTGTGTGTGAGAGTAGTTGCCTGTGTCTAGAACGACTTTCTGCAAGACACCGTCATCAATCTGGTGGCAAGGAAGAGGGTGATGGGCTTAAGAACTGTGTGTCTTGATGGCTGAGACCCTTTCTCAGTCTGGCTGACAGCTGCCCGGGGTCTGAGACGTGGCAAAGTCAAAGATAATTAGGGTGTTTCCAACAGTGCTGGGGGTGTCAGAGAGGACGAAACCATTTCTTGCCAGCAAGGAGCAAATGTGGGACTGAGCAGGGATGCAGCCTAGAAAGAAAGCTCAGATTCTGATGCGTGACTGCAATCTGGAAGAGCAGCTATATTTAGTGATAAGCATGGCTCTCCACTGTCATTTCTGTCAGCACTGGCAGGCCCCTCCTTCAGGATGTGTGACCTTGTGAGATCAGAGTTCAAGGTCAAATAAGCAGATCAGCATGGCTGATTGCCAGAGAATTAATAAGAGACAAGAAGTACCATACAGCAGCCATCTCTGTTCCAAAATATCCTTTGAATGGTTTCAAAGAATGCCTGTTCACTGGACAGACTAGCACAACCTCCCCTAGGTTCTAGTGCCTTCTAGTATAAAAGCACACTTTGTAATGGTTTAACTATGCGTAGAGGAAATGATACCAGGTATTCTAGACAAGCAGCTCCACTCCTTCCTGGGAGATGGGTCTTTTGTGGACTTTTGTGTCTTCAGCTGCAAAACACAGATAGCAATATCTCTTTCACAGGGCTGTTGGTGGGAACTGAAAGGAGAGAAAATGTGGAAAATGCTTAAAAACAATGCCTGGAGTCCTAGAATATGGTGAATGTTCACTCTTTACCGAAATCGTCATTTAGGGTCAAATCAGTACCTCACCACTCACAGATTCCCGCCATGAATCCTTTGTGAGCAGTTTCACAGACCTCACTTGAGGAAATGGGGAGTCTTGCTGGAACGTTGCTTCAAATGTGGCGAGTGTGACTTAGAGAGCTATGGGCTGCATGAGCTCCCGGGACCATCAGCGTTTACCTCTTGCACTGATACAGCTTTTATACAGATAATTTTTATAGAGAAAATTGTATACTCCAAGGTGTATGATTGCTTGTGAATGCAAAACCCACCTCACAAACTGAACTAATAAATGTATGCATTGGGTTTAGAAGGCAGCCGAGGCATTTTCAATGTAAACTTCAGAAGTAGGCAACTGAGGTGTTAGCTCACACACCTAAAATTACACTGAGATTTTTATAGCTGCACGGGGTGAGATGCTTACACTGAGATGAAGAAAAATACATAGACTCAAGCATAGAGTGTGTGCCTGCACACACTTACACATGCACACATGCATGCACACACACACATGCACATACACATACATGCACACATATACATTTATACTATGCATAAATGGGAAGTATATGTTTGCATGTATTCTAATAGTATTCTTTGTGTATAGACACTTAAAATGAAAAAACTAAAAATAAATCTATCAAAATTTGTGCAAGATTTTTATGAGAAAATATGGACTTTTTGTTAAAAGGATTTAAAGATCCAAGTAAATGTTCACAGATTTTAAAACAAGATGACAGATCCCCTCCAGCTACTCATCTTAAATAAGATGAATAGTAAAATCCCACCCCAGGTTTTCATATAACTTGATGGGTTATGTCCTAGCCAGGGTTATCATTGCTATGATGAAACACCATGACCAAAGCAACTTGTGAGGGGAGAGGGTTTGTTTGGTTTATGCTTCCATGGCACCGTTCATCACAGTAGAAAGTCACGACAGAAACCAAACAGGGCAGGAACCTGGAGGCAGGAGCTGATGCAGAGGCCATGAAGGGATGCAGCTTACTGGCTTGCTCATTATGGCTTGCTTAACCTGCTTTCATATATAGCCCAGGACCACCAGCCCAAGGATGGTACCACCCACAAGTGGGCTGGGCCTTTCCCCCATCAATCAGTAATTAAGAAAATGCCTTACAGGCATGCTAATAACCCAATCTTATAGAAACACTTTCTCAGTTGAGGTTCCCTCTTCTCCAATGGCTTGACCTTGTCTCAACCTTATACAAAACACTCCAGCACACTCTGTAACAGGCTACAATGTATTCTCCTTGAAATTCTACATTGAATTCTAGCCCCTGGACCTCAGAATGCTAGTGCTTTTAGAGAAAGGGTCAGCAGGGAGGTGAAAAGAGATCATCCATAAAGGTCCTGATCCAACATGACTAGTATTTTAGTAAGTATGGATGAGTGTCTGAAGCACCTCTACAGAAACGTCCAGGTTCTTGTATCCTGGAAAAATGAATTGGACCAAGAACACATGGATGGTGATAGAAATAGCGGCAGCTTATTATGAAAAGGGAAAGGCACTCTCAAGGGTAGAACTGAGACAGTGAGCAGAGAGCACAAGAGCCCCAGATCACTTGAGTTCTGATCCTTATGTTTACACAGAGCCACCTTCTCAAGGAGATCTCTTCTTGGACTCACTGCTTGGTTGCTTGGCATCTTGGTGGAGAGGGAATTCTAGTGTTTCTATCAACTCGATCCATTCATAAGGTCATCATGAATCCCATTCTCTGTGCCACTTCTCTGCTGCCGAAGTACCTTCAGAAGAAAGAACAATTTGAAAATAAGGATAAGAAGAAGATGACATGAAGACACTCTGGGGAGAAGATGGCCATTTTTAAGCCAAGAGCATCTGAAGCAAATAGTTTTCTCATGACCTCAAAAGAGAACAAGCCAGGCAAAAGCTTCATTCCAGACCTCCAAGCCTCTGGAGCTGTGTGAACACAAATTTCTCTTGCTTGAGTCACTGAATATGTAGTACTTGTTATAACTTTGTATTGAGGAGCAAAGGATCATGAACACACAAGAGAACTTTTGAAAAAGAAATAAAGTCGTCTAAGAAGAGTACTAGTGTATTATTTTAAGTTATGCTCACTGAAGCAGGGTAGGTTGTGAGGGGATTGTGTTATTTAGCTTTGTATCACTGCTACAAAATACCTGAAATAATTAATCTACAAGAGAAAAAGTATATATAGTTCACAAGTTTTGAGAGTCTAGTCTAGGACTGAGTGATTCCATTGTTTGGAGGTGTTGGATGGCATGGTGGATCATGTGACAGAGCAAAAAGGCTGACATTACAGCCAGAAAGCAGGGTCTCACAGTCTCCTTTGCCTGCATACCCAGCAACCTCAGGGCCTCTCAACAGGACCCACCTCCCAAAGATTCCAATACCTCCAAATAGAAGCACCCTGGAAGCTAAGATGTTAGCATAAGGACTTTTGAGGACATTTCTCCAAACCATAGCAGAGACATAGACTAGTGGAATCAGATAGAAAGGACAGAGACCATGCTTTGTTTCAGTAAGGTTGAAAGATGACAGACAGAAAAAGACATGGTGAAAGTGATGGGACAAGGTGAATTGCCTGGAAAAAGTGAAATGCAATTCTTACCTCTTACAAACATAAAAAAAGTCACTGCCAGTAGATGGCGCTTAATACAGTCTCACAACTGGTTTAGCTGCAGGAAATATGAGCCCAGTGTAAATGGGACATCTGTAACAGACATCCTCCCTTCAAGGCTCAGGGATCACTGGGAAAGATGGAGCTGGAAGATTCTAAGAGCCAGAGGTTGCTGAGGACTGCTACAAAACAGTGCTTTCTGGGCATGATAGTCCCGTTGCATGAACTCACAGCGACTGTGGCTACATATACAAGATTAGATCAAGCCAGTAAAAATTCCAACATGGACTGGGAAGGGGCTCACAAAGCTCCACTCCTAGCTGAGAAGCTGTGGGCAGTTAATGGTTGTCAAGGAAGGAATGTTAGTTTCCCTCTGGGATGCAGCTGGGTAGTTGCCCAAGATACAGTGAATGGTCTTATTCCCACAAAGTACTCGCAGCACTGATTGGACTCAGTGGTTAAAAAGAGGACATACAGGAAGTTGGGAGGAAGAGCTTCGGAGGAGGATATGGGAGCAGTTGAAGAAGGACTGAAGGTGAATTTAATGAATTTAATCAAAACACGTTATAAACATGTATGACATCCTCAAAGAATAATTTTAATATTTTTAATTAAAAAATATCTACCAAATAGAACAATGCCTGAAATCTAGAGAGATCACATTTGGCATCTTGAATATAGGACACTATCATGTGCTTGGGCAGAAGAGAGCCATTAAACCAGGTCCAAAAATCATCAGCATAAAGCAAAGACTGGGAATAACTCAACTACAGTAAAACTGAACATGTGTGTTCACAAAAGACAATAGGAAATGTAGGGGAAAGACATTTATACCAGGACCAATATTTACTGCGAGTATAACTGAAAAACCGCACCAATGACTATTATAGTTCAGTAAGGAAAACAAAAGAACTGTGTTGCTTAAAAGGGCAAAATACATGCACAGCACTTTGCAGAGTGGAAGCATAAAGAGAGGCCCAATGAAAATTAAAACTAACCCTCCCATAGGCAAATGGTGCAAAAAAACCTAGTACTAAGGAATGTTGGGAAGGGTGTGGGCATGAAAAAGCATACACGTGCCTCCTGTGAGAGAGTAAATGGATGGGGCTGTCACTGAGGGCTGGTTAGCAATAGTTAATAAATTTTAAAATAAACATGTACTAAATAATTAACTAATCCAGCTCTTATCTGTGTGTGTGTGTGTGTGTGTGTGTGTGTGTGTGTGTGTGTGTGTGTGTGTGTGTGTAGAAGGGACATATATATATGTTTACAAACACATACTTTCAATAGGAAATAATTGAAGAAGCCATCTTCTTGTGACTGGGTCCATGATTGATTTTACCAGAAAGTAAGTGAATATGAGCACTACAATAAATATGCTTGATTCTCACAATCTAAATAATTATATTTAAGTGGAAATGCATATTAATACATCAATGATTTATCTGCCTCTATAGATCTGTAAAAATGTATAAACTTATCAATAGATATATTTATATATAATAATATATCATTGGTATCAAGCTAAAATGAAAACATTGTTAATAGTATCATACATATAGTGTTAAAATATATTTCTTTTGTTGTTGTTGTTGCTGGAGGGCTTCTCTCCAGGTTCCACCGAGCCCCACAGTCCCACAATCCACGTATAAAATAATCACTCAGACGCTTATATTACTTATAAACTGTATGGCCGTGGCAGGCTTCTTGCTAACTGTTCTTTTATCTTAAATTAACCCATTTTTATAAATCTATACTTTGCCACGTGGCTGGTGGCTTACCGGCATCTTTACATGCTGCTTGTCCTGGCGGTGGCTGCAGTGTCTCTCCCTCCTTCTTCCTGTTTCCCCAATTCTCCTCTCTCCTTATCCTGCCTATACTTCCTGTCTGGTCACTGGCCATCAGTGTTTTATTTATATAGAACGATATCCACAGCAGTTGTCATTGTTGTTTTGGTTTTTCAAGATAGGGTTTCTCTGTGTAGTTTTGGTGCCTGTCCTGGATCTCACTCTGTAAACCAGGCTGGCCTCAAACTCACAATCTGCCTGGCTCTGCCTCCTAAGAGCTGGGATTAAAGGCATGCGCCACCACTGCCCAGCTTAAAATATATTTCTTATATATTCCAGTTCCTAAAAGAATTGGGATCCCAGACTGGGGAGATGGTTTAGTCAGTAAAGTGCCCACTGGCCAAACAAGCATGAGGATCTGAGTCCAGCCCTCAGCACTCACATAGAAGCTGGGGGTGACCGGTGACTGGGCATCTCTATACCCCTCACATAGAGTGGCTGTTGAGTATGAGTTCAATGAGAGGCCCTGTCCCAAAAGATAAGGCGGAGAGTGATGAAGAAAAACAGCTGATGTCAACCTCTGGCCTACATTCACACTTACACACACACACACACACACACACACACACACACACACACACACACTGCAGGGGAAGAGGGAGGGAGAGAAGGAGAGATGGACAGAAGGAGGCATGGAGGGAGGAAGGGAGAGAGAGAGAACTGGAACCTCAAATTGAAATATGAAACCATCTTTTTATTAGATAATAACAGTGTAGCATAGATGTCACCCATTTTAGTAAGGATTTATTTCTTACATTTATTATCCCAAATTTATGCCTGTTACATAGATCAAAGCTTCAATGTATTAAAGGGCAATAGTAATTTTATTTTAAGTTCTGTTACATCCCAGTTATTACAACTAACATTCATTAGCAGTCATTATTTCCCTCTCTAGCCATAATTTATCATTTCCCATAATTACTGTTACTATATCTTAAAAGTATGATTTTCATTGACTGACAAGAAAACTAGAAACCAGCATAATCCATTAGCCAATCAAGATGCTTTTGATGCATGGTGGCATATACCTATAATTCCAGCACTTGGGGAGCTGAAGCAGTAGGATTGTGAGTTCTAGGCCACTTTGGGCTGTGTAGTGAGATCCCGTCTCAAAACAAAACAAAACAAAAACAAGAAACACGTTTTTGAGAGACAGAGAAACAGCTGATAAAATGAAACTACACTGGTAAGCAATGAGTGTGGAAGCTGATGCCTGAAGGGGAACTCTTCTGGACAGACTACACTTAGTTATTCATCTAAGTAAACAGTATCCCATGATTCTTTTCCTTGAGTGAGCTTTTTCTTAACACTCAAAAGCCCTTGAATAAAAAAAAAATACATTTATGTACCCAGGTGATAGTTTTCCTTCAGGAGAGCTACTTACTAGATGTTCATGTCTGACAGACATGTTGAGTAGCAGAGAGGACATCTCCTAAAATATAGCACTAAAAATGGCTTGATAAAAGTGTTTTTGAGGTCACTGAGTTAGAGCAAAATAAGCCAGAGAGAAGAGCATGTAGAAGCCCAGCAAGAAAGAGGAACTCAATAGCTCTTTACTTGAATGTGGGTGGTCTTTGGTTCTTCATCGTACACCTGGAAGACCAGAGGCCATTCTTGGAATGTGAGTATGGAGGTGTCTAGAAATGACCTTTCTGATCTGGGATCACAGACATATCCTTAGGGAAAGCCAGTGTCCTAGAGAGGATGAAATAGAGGAATTTGTCTTCTCAAAATTGACCATGAGTGGAAAGATCAGAATAGAACAGATCTCAGAGAGTTCTCAAACCCAAGCCCAAGGTTACATAACACAGGACAAGAAACCACCCTTGTAGCTAGTAAGCTTTAAGTTAAAGATGTAAATGTAGCCCCATATTGGTAGTTTGACAGGCAAAGACAGAACAAATAGACCCCTTATGGGAGAAAACATGTTAGAGTCAGTTTCCTAAAATATATATAAGCTTCCAGCCAAATGAATTCACAGTCAGAAATATTACAGATCAAGATTGAGGAGAAATAATACTCTGCAAAGTTAAATAGAAATAAATGTATAAGTTAAAATTAATTGATAGTGTATTTTAAAGTGTTGTTTAATATGCTGAAAGAGCCTGTAAGAGCCAAGGATGATAGTACAGGCCTATGGTCCCTCTCTCCTAAAAAGTGTCTACATTTTCTAAATGGGTGTCACATTTCATAGGCTCCATTTTATCCCAATGATAAATATTTATCTGTTCTACCAACAGTTGGATATACATGGTACTTCAGAGGCATGTGTGACTTGACAGCCCCTCAAAGT